GGGGGGGGGGGGGCACCTGGATTCCTCCTGGATGGGGCTGGGGGGAGCTGGGGGGGGTGTGTGGGGAGTTTAAAGGGGGGGGCTCTGTGTTCCCATCCTCAACCCTGACCCCCCTTTCCCCCAGAGACCCAGTTCCGTCTGTCCATCCTGGAGCGCCTGGAGCAGCTGGAGACACGGCTGGGGGCCCTGCCCCCCCCTGCACCCCTCCCTCCCCCACGGGGGGCCCCCTCCGATCCCCCCCCGGAGCAGGTGAGCCCCTCCCCAACACCTGGGGTCCCTCACGGCCCCTGGAGACCCTTAGGGTCCCCTTGTGTCCCCTGCTGTCCCCTGTGTTCTTCTGTGTCCCAAGTGTCCCCTGATGTCTTTGATACCCTCCTGTGTCCCCTGGTGCCCCCAGTGTCCCTTGGTGTCCTCAGATGTCCCCTGATGTCTCTGATATCCCCCCTGTCCCCTGATGTCCTCAGCGTCCCCTATCACACCCTGGTGTCCCCTGACATTCCACCGTATCTGCTGGAATCCCCTGGCGTCCCCTGGCGTTCTCTGATGCCCCTCACTACTTGGGTGTCCCTGAGCCCCTCCTGATGTCCCCAATGTCCCCTGCCATCCCCTGGTGCTCCCCATAGCCCCTGTTGCCCCCAGAGTCCCTTCCCCACACCCTGTGCCACCCTGCCCGTGTCCCCCGCTTGTCCCCTGACGTGTGTCCCCGGGGGCAGGGGCCGGGCTCGTCCTTCGAGGCGCGGGTGGTGGCCGTCTGCGAGGCCATGATGGCGCGGCCGGGCTGGCCGGGGACGTCGCCGGGGCCGTCGGTGCTGGCCCACGGGGCCACCTTCCGCGGGATGACGCTGCTGCACTTGGCGGCCGCCCAGGGCTACGCCGGCCTGGTGGAGGCCCTGCGGCGCTGGCGGTGAGCGGGGACGCCGGGGCCGGCTGGGGACGGGGGCTGGCGTGGGACGGGGACGGGGATCGCCCCAGGCCGTGTCCCCAGATAGAGGTGACCCCCAAGGCCGTGTCCCCGAGGGGGAGGTGACACCCACCCACATCCCCAAGGGGAGGTGACACCCGTCCCTGTCCCCTCCTGTCCCCGCAGGGCGCTGGCGGTCGACAGCCTGGAGCTGGAGCAGGAGATTGACCCCCTCAACGTGGACCATTTCTCCTGCACCCCGCTGGTGAGGAGACGGTGGGGACACTGGGGGCACGGAGGAGGCAGGGGGGACAGGATGGTGGCTCAGGCAGGGATGGTGGTATTAAGGGTGGCCCCTCGGGACAAGGGGCCCCTGGGGGTTATGGGGCCGCTGGTGACCGGTGCCACCGCGTCCCCAGATGTGGGCGTGTGCCCTGGGGCACCGGGAGGCGGCAGAGCGGCTGTGCCGCTGGGACCGGCGGGCGCTGGCCGTCCCTGACACCCTGGGGCGGCTGCCGCTGGCCCTGGCACGTGCCCGTGGCCACCTGGCCCTGGTGACCCGCCTGGAGGAGCTGCAGATGTCACCGGTGTCCCCGCGCTGTCACCTGCCCGGCCTGCGTGTCCCCTCCCCGCTCTCAGCCAGCCCCGACACAGGTACGGCCCCGGCACCGCGGCCCCTCCTTGGCATCGTGTCCCCTCCCTTTTCCCTGTTACTGTGCCTCCCTCTGTCCCCTGTCACCGTGCCCCTTTGTGTCCCCAGGTGTCCCTAAGTCCCCTCTCTGTGTGCCCTGTGCCCCGCTCTTGCGTTTCATGTCCATCCCTGTGTCTCCTGTCCTTCCGTGTCCCCTGTCCTCCCCAGCCCCTTTGTGTCCCCAGGTGTCCCCACAGCGCTCCCCAACCCCTCCCCAACCCCTGCGTGTCCTCTCAGGGCTGCAGCCCCCCCCCAACGTCCCCCCTGTCCCCAGGGCTGAGCACGGCCAGCAGCCTGTCGTCCCCGTCGGGACTCTCGGAGGGTCCCAGCTCCGTCCCGCTGCCCCCCGGCCCCCCCGGCCCCCCCGAGGACGAGAGCTGGGGGGTGGCCGTGCCCCCCAGCCCCCCCGAGGACGCCCTGGCCGCACCCACCGACATCCTGCAGGTAACGGGGACCCCCGAGGAGGGGGACACCCAGGGCTGGGGACCCCCCCAGAGCCCAGGACCCCTGGTGCCACGGGGTCCCGCTGTGCCCTGTGCCCCCAGGCCGAGGTGGTGACGCTGGCACGACAGATCATCGAGGCCACCCCCGAGCGCATCAAGCAGGAGGCTCCGGGGGGGCCGCCGGGGGCACTGGGAGCGCTGGGAGCGGCGGGGGGGCCGGCGGGGGGGCCGGCAGGGACCCCCGGGACCCCCGGGGGGCTCAGCGCTGCCATGGCCTGGCTCGCCACGTACCTGGAGAGCGTCGATCGTCCCCCGGCGCCCCCCCACAGGTACCCCCGGGGGTGGGGGGGTGTCCCTGGGACTTGTGGCACCCTGATATACCCACGGGGGGGGTCTTCTGTGTCCCGGAGCACCCCAGTGTCAGTGGGGGGGTCACCCACATCCAGCAGCACCCCAGGATGCTCTGGGAGGGACCTCTCATGGCCTGGGACACCCCAGTGTTCCATTGGGAGGGTTCCCTGGGTCTTTGGACACCCCAATGTCCTCGGGGGGAGGGTCCCTTACATCCTATGACATCCCAGTGTCCCCATGGTGGGGGGGTCTCCCACATCCTGCAACACTCCAATATCCCACTGGGGGGTATGTCCTGGATCCTGGGACACCCCAATATTCTCACGGGGAGGTTCCCCATGCTCTGTGACACCAAATATCTCCCTGGGTGTGGGGGGGTGTCTCTCACATCCTCTGCCCCCCCAGTATCCCCATGGGAGGGTGCCAGGCCTCCTCCCTGACCCCCTCTGTGTCCTGTGTCCCCCCCAGGGCAGAGGCTGCCCCGCGGGGGTCCCCGGGGGTCCCTGAGCGGCCGCCCCCCCCGTCGGCCGTGGGCTGGGCCGAGTTCCTGAACGCCTCGGGGGGGGCGAGGGGCGAGGGGGGGGCCGTGGCCCTGCTCACCCTCAGCGACCAGGAGCAGCACGAGCTCTACGAGGCCGCGCGCCTCGTCCAGGGCGCCTTCCGCAAGTACCGGGTGTGTAACCCCCCCCCCCCCCCCCCCGAGCCCCCAGGGCCCTCCCAGCCACTCCCCCTGGCCACGCTGACCCCCCTTTGCCCCCCAGGGCCGGAGGCTGAAGGAGCAGCAGGAGCTGGCGGCCGCCGTCATCCAGCGCTGCTACCGCAAGTACAAGCAGGTACCGAGGTGTGGGGGGACCCCAAAACCCCCATGGGCCCCCCTGGGCACCGCCCCGGTCCCCCAGAGCCCCCCTAACCCTCTCTCTCTGCCCCACAAGCTGACCTGGATTGCTCTGAAGGTAACAGGGTTGGAGTGGGGGCCCCCAGTTTGGGGGACCATCTTGGGGGGCTCCAGACGCCTGGGTCCTCTCAGCCTTGAGGGGTGTACGGTGTTGGGGGGACCTCAGGGTGGGGGTACCTGGATGTTGGGAGAGCACCTGGACATTAGGGTCCTTGTCTGGGGGCCCTGTGACAACGGGGTGACACCGGGGTCCCTGTTTGGGGGTGCTGTGACATTGAGATCTGTCTGGGGTGCTGTGACACCGGGATGACACAGGTCCCTGACTGGGGTGCTGTGACACTGAGGTGACATTGGGGTCCCTGTGCGGGGTGCCGTGACCCCGGGGTGCCCCGCGGGTGCTGAGGGCTGTCCTGTGTCCCCCCCAGTTTGCCCTGTTCCAGCGGATGACGCAGGCCGCCATCCTGATCCAGAGCAAGTTCCGGAGCTACGCGGAGCAGAAGCGGTTCCAGCGGCGCCGGCGCGCGGCCGTGCTCATCCAGCAGCGCTTCCGCAGCCTCCGGCAGCACCGGTGGGGACGCTCGGGGGGCCGGGGGGGACTGGGGGACACTGGTGACACTGGGGGCACTGGGGACTGGGGTGTTGGTGTCTGGGGACACCAGGCACTGGGGACAGAGGGGTCCTCACCCTCCTCTCCCTTTTTCCCCAGGAGCACCTTCCTCACCCTCAAGCAGGACCAGGCGGCCCGGAAGATCATGAGGTTCCTGCGGCGCTGCCGCCACCGGTGCGGGAACGTGGGGGGGATGTCTAGGGGGACACCTGGGGGGACACAGGGACATGGAGTGGGAGGACATGGGGCTGAGGGGTGTCACACGGGTGTGGGTGGAGACAGGTGACACTCTGGGGAGCTTGGGGAGAGGTGACACTGTGGGGGAGACCCTCAGCAGAGCCTGACTCCCCCCCAACTCACGTTCCCTTCCCCAGGATGGAGGAGCTGAAGCAGAACAAGGAGGTGGACAGTTTACAGACGCGGGGCCTGGCCTCGTGACCCCCCCACGGGGGACCCAGGCATCGGGGGGGCTCCACCCCCCCCCACCACAGGGGACCCAGGCAACAGGGGGGCCCCCTCCCCGGCCCCCCCCCCAGGCTTTGCCGAGTGTCCGGGTCCCCCAGGGGACCCGTGGGGAGGGGAAGGGGGGGGCAGAGCCATCCCACGCCCCTCCTCACATGCCCCTGTCCCTGCCCCGCATGCCCCACTCCCTCTCCCCCCCCAGCCCCGTGTGGGCTGTTTGTACAAAGTTCCATTAAAAACCGAGGAAGCGGGAAAAAAAGACCTGATACGTGTGTGTGCGTGCGGGGGGGACACGGGCCGGGGGGGCACTGGGAGGACATGGGGGGGGGGAATGCGGGGGCCTCGCCGGTGCCCTTTTAAAGGCAGGCCACGCCCCTTCTGAGAAGGCCCCGCCCCTTCACGAGGACGCCTCGCCCTTCCCCGAGGCCACGCCCCCCGCGGTGACGCAGCACGCCGGGGGCGTGGCCCGCCGCCCCGTCGCAAGATGGCGGAGCTGGATCTGCTGGGCTCCATCCTGAGCTCCATGGAGCGGCCGCCCGCGGCAGCCGACGGCGAGACGCGGCGCCGGGCGCGGGGTCAGTGGGGCCGGGGGGGCGCGGAGGCACCGGGAGGACCGAGCGAGAGGGGCGGGAAGCGGCGGCTGCGGCGGGAGGTGGCGGAGGGGGGGGGGGAGAAGAGGGCGGCGCGTCCCGGCCCTTCGCCCTCACCCCCCCCACCGACATCCGCGCTCACGCGTGGCCACGCCCCCCGCGGGGATGGCTCCGCTCCCTCGCTCCACTGATTGGCTGGGGCGCCCACGAGGCCACGCCCTTTAGCCGGACACTGCTGTGGTGCTGGCCCCGCCCTCGGCCCCGCCCCTGCCCAGGTCCCGCCCCCAGACCCATCGAGAGCCGCCCCCGGAGGGTCCTGGGGGGGTCTTGTGGAATCCCGGGCGTCCTGACCCCCCCTCCGTGTCCCCCAGAACAAGCCGCTCGCGTGAAGAAGCTGCAGGAGCAGGAGAAGCGCCAGAAAGTCGAGTTCAGGAAGAGGGTGAGTTCCCCCCCAGCCTCCGCGGGCACCTGAGTGCCCCCCCAATGCCTGGGCCCTCCCCGACCGCCCGTGTCCTTCCCAGATGGAGCAGGAGGTGTCCCAATTCATCCAGGCCAGTGGGGAGCCCCGGCGCCGCTTCCAGCCCATGAACAAGATCGAGAGGAGCATCCTGTGAGGGGGCACTGGTGGCACTGGGAGGGCAGTGGGTGGGGCACTGGTGGCACTGGGAGGGCAGTGGGAGGCTGCTTTGGACACTGAGGGGGCAATAGGGTGATACTCTGTGCACTGGGAGAACACTGGGGCCACTGAGGGGGTACTGGGGACCCTGGGGACATGGGAGTGGGGGGACCACTTGGGAGGATACTGGGAACACTGGGGGGATGTGGGGGGCACTGCAGGGCAATACTGGGAATGCTGGTGGACAGTGGGGACGTGGGGGCAGGACAGAAGCAGCCCCGGGTGGCAGCTCCATGCTGGGGCAGTCGGGGACCCTCAAGGGGAAGGGACAGCTGGGGACATGTCCTGTGTTCTCCAGGCACGACGTGGCTGAGGTGGCCGGTCTGACGTCCTTCTCCTTCGGGGACGACGAGGACAGTCGTTATGTCATGGTGTTCAAAAAGGTGGGGATGGGGGGACACCTGCCAGTGTCCCCAGGAGTTCTGGGAACGGGGGGGACATGGAGGGAGGCGGGAGGGGGGGGACCCAGGGTGACATCTTAGGTGTCCCCAGGGACACGAGGGGAGGTGGGAGGAGGGGGCACACGGGGTGACGCTGTGGGTGTCCCCAGGAGTTCGCACCGTCGGACGAGGAGCTGGACGCGTATCGGCGGGGGGAGGAGTGGGACCCGGCCCTGGCTGAGGAGCGACGCCGCCTCCGGGTAGGCGGGGCTTAGAGCACACAGGCGGGGCTTAGTGACATGGGGCGGGGCTTAAAAGGGCAGGGGTGAGGCTGGTCTTGGCCGGAGGGGTGTGGTTTGAGCGGACACCGGGGGTGTGGCCCATGGGGGTGTGTTGGGGTTAGGCCCCGCCCAGGGCCCCTCCCCTTGCTTTGAGTGGGTGGGGTTTGTTGTAAAAGGGGGTGGGGTCATGTGCTGATGCCCCTCCCTCAGGAGTTGGCGGCGCAGCAGGAGGAGGCGGAGCTTGAGCGCGGCGCTGCCCCCCCCGGCCCCCCAAACGACTACAAGGACAAATACCGGCACCTGATTGGCTCCGACGCCGCCAAAGCCGCCGCCCGCACCATGGAGGCCAACAAGGCCTATGGGTGTGGTGAGTGGGGGCTCTGGGGGGGGGGTCCTGGGGGGCCACAACACCAAGGAAGGAGTGGGGGTGTCCTGGGGGAGCTCTTGGGTGGCCCCCAAAACCTTGGGCTCCCTGTGGGGGTCTGTGGGGATCCTGGGGGCTCCCGGTGGATGCCCCTCTGACCTTCCCTTGCCCCCCCAGTGCCGGTGGCCAACAAGCGGGACACGCGCTCCATCGAGGAGGCCATGAACGAGATCCGGGCCAAGAAGCGGCTGCGGCAGGCGGAGGACGAGGGGGGGGCCGGGGGGGGGCCCGGGGGGGCCCCGGGGGGGAGGGGGGGGTGGGGAGGGGGGGCTGCACCCCTGGGGGGTATTTAACAGTGGGGGAGAATGACGGTGACACACGAGAGCGGTGATAAAGCGCTTCAGCTCCTGGCAGGGTCCCCGTGTCTGTTCTGGGGGGGCACCCCCATTTCCTGGGGGGTGGTGTGGGGGGTGTGTTTGTGTTTGTTTGTGTTCCCCCCTCCCAAACCAAACAAACAATGGGTTGGGGACTCGTGGTGCTTCAGAGTTTATTGAGGGAGGTGGGGGAGCGACCCCTGGGAGGGGGGTCAGGCTGGGTTTGTTACCCCTCCCCCTCCTACTTGGCTTTGGGGTTCCTGAACTTGCGCCCCGCGAACTTGGCCTTGTCCCCCAGCGCCTCCTCGATCCTGGGGGTCAGTGAGGGGACATGGGGTCAAAGGGGGTGACCCAGAGGTTGGGGGTGGGACGTGGTGGACACACAGGGACAAGGACACTCTGGGCAGGGTACAGGGGGATGGGCTTGGGGACCCCCCAACTCCCCCCGGGGCCTCCCCCCAGCTCCCTGTGGGGGATATGAGGACACAGGGTGGGAGGATGAACATTTGGGAACAAGGATGGGGAGACACAGAGATTTGGGGCTGCCTCACCTCATCAGCTGGTTGTACTTGGCCAAGCGCTCGGAGCGACAGGGAGCTCCCGTCTTGATCTGGGGAGACAGAGGGGACATTGGGGGGTGTTGGGGGACACGGGGGGTGACAGGAGACGAGGGGACTCACCTGGCCCGTGCACAGCCCCACCACGAGGTCAGCGATGAAGGTGTCCTCGGTCTCGCCCGAGCGGTGACTCACCATCACCCCCCAGCCGTGGCTCTGGGCCAGTTTGCACCTGGGGAGGGGACACGAGAGGGGACCTGAGCTCGCACGGGGGTCGTGCACAGGGAGCTCAAGGGGCTGCACACAAAGGCTTTGCACAAGGACTCACACCTGGGTGGGTGCAGGGAGGGGGTTTGCACGGGGATTTCTACAGGGATTTGCACAGGGATTCACACCTGGATGGACTTTGTGACGGGGGTGTTGCACGGGGGGGTCACACGAGGACTCACACCTGGATGGGCTCGGTGGCAGGGATTTGCACAAGGATCCACAGGAGGACTCACATCTGGATTGACTCAGGGGTGGGGATGTTACGCAGGGATTTGCACAAGGGGTCACAGGGGGTCTTACACCTGGATGGACTCGGTGACAGGGGTGTTACGTGGGGGTTTGCTCAAGGATTCTCCGGGGGACTCACGCCTGGATGGACTCGGTGACGGAGCCGATCTGGTTGACCTTGAGCAGGAGGCAGTTACACGCCTTCACCTCGGCCGCCCGCGCGATGCGCTTGGGGTTGGTCACCGTCAGGTCATCGCCTACCACCTGGATGTCCACCTGTGTCAGGAAGCTCTTCCAGCCCTCCCAGTCGTCCTGGTCAAAGGGGTCCTCGATTGACACCACTGCAGGGAAACAGCCACCAGTCTGCACCAGTATGGTCCAGTCACCTCTGGTGGTTGGGAGAGGGACAGCGACCACCCTGTGGCCCCAGGCACAGCCCTGTATGAGCCATCAGAGTCCCCACCTGCCTTCCCAGTGCCTTCCACTCCCTCCTAGTGTCCTCCCAGTCCCTTCCAGTCCATCCCAGTACCTTGTCAGTGCCTCCCAGTCCCTCTTGGTGTCCCCCCAGTCCCTCCCAGTGTCTCCCTGTGCTTGCCAGTGCCCTCCCAGTTTCATGCCAGTGCTCACCGGGGTAGTCCTTGATGAAGCTCTTGTAGAGCTGCCCCAGCTGCTCCCCAGTGATGAGGCGCTTGGGGTCTGGGGGTGATTTGAAGTCCAGGTCGTACTTGCCCTCCCGGCAGAACTCAGAGGCCGCCACATCCATCCCGATGACCACCTTGTCTGGGTACCCAGCCTGGCCAATGGCCGCTTTCAGCAGCTCCAGAGCTGGAGGGACCTCACTCAGCACCGGCCACAGGGTGGGGGGAGAGACCCGACCCCCCCCAGACCCCCAATTACCCCCTGAACCTGCACCCCAGGGGGGACAGACACAGGAGTCTGGGCTCAAATCCCCCCACAGGGTCTCCAAAATCCATCCACAGAGATTCTCAATGCTGACCCTTGACCGAGGGGACTTGGACCCCATGGCCCCCTCAGGGCCCCTCCCCCCAAAGCCAGATGGACCCGGTGCCCCCCCCTGCCCTTTCCTGCCCCTCCCCCACTGCCCCATGACCTTTCTCCAGTTACCACTAATTCAGGATGTGACCCCGAAACCCAACCCCGGGGGTGGGAGGGAGGGTCTATAAATAGCTCCAAGCCCCCAGCCCAAGGGGTGGGGGAGCACCCAGGCCCTCTGGGGGGCACCCAAGTGTTCCGGGGGCCCCCACCTTCATTGTTCTCCAGGATGTTTGGGGCAAAGCCGCCCTCGTCGCCCACGTTGGTGGCGTCTTTGCCGTACTTGGCCTTGATGACGGCCTTGAGGCTGTGATAGACCTCGGCGCCGATGCGCACGGCCTCGCGGAACGTCGCGGCGCCCACCGGCAGCACCATGAACTCCTGCATGGCCAGCTTGTTCCCCGCGTGAGAGCCCCCATTGATCACGTTGAAGGCCTGGCCGGGGGGGGGCCAATGAGTCCAAAGAGCCCCCCAAGACTCAACTTTGCCCTAAGGGCTTGACAACCCCCTTAAAGACCCAACCAGGTCCCCCAAAGTTCCAATGTCCGCCCAAAGACCCCATGAACCCCAAGACTCAACTCCCCCAAGACCCAACCAGGTCCCCCAGTACCCAAAGACCCTCCCCAAAGACTCAAAGACCCCCAAAGAACCAATAAATCAAACAATATCCACAAACACAACCAGGTCCCACCAAACCCAACCAACACCCCCCCAAAACCTTGGTGGGATGCCCCAAAATCCTCCTCAAACATCCACCAACCCCTCCCCAAGACCCATTTGTGCCCCTATAAATCCCCCACTGTGCCCCCAGTCCCTCCTGCTCCTCTGGGGTGCTCCAGGGTACCGGCACGGGCAGGATGAGCTCAGTGTTGCCAGCCAGGTTGGCGATGTGCTGGTACAGGGGGATCCCCTTCTCAGCTGCCCCGGCCTTGCAGACGGCCAGTGACACCCCCAGGATGGCATTGGCCCCGAATTTAGCTGAGGGACGGGAAGGAAGGGCTGAGTTTGAGGGGTCTCAGGGTCCGGGGAAAGGTGGGGGTTGAGGGGAGCTCACATTTGTTCTCGGTGCCGTCCATCTCGATCATGAGCTTGTCGATCTTCTCCTGCTCCACCACACTGAGTTTCTGGGGGATGGGGGGAGGTGTCAGCCTCCCACCTGCCCCACAAGTGCCCCCCAATCCTCCCTCGCCCCTCTCCTCCCCCACACGTACCTTCTCCACCAGAGCTGGGCCCAGAGTCTTGTTGATGTGCTCCACGGCCTTCAGCACCCCTGGGGGGTCGGGGCAGGGGGTGTGACCTCTGACCTTGGGGGTCACCCCCTCCCACCAAACACATGGGGGGTGGGGGGTTGGGAGGGGACTGACGGGGGAGGGATTGGGGGGGTTGTTGTGTCTTCGGGGCACTGAGATGGGTCTTGGGGGAGGTTTAGGGGATGCAGTTGGGTCTTGGGGGGTTGTTGGGTCATTGGGGGGGAGTGCCCTGGTTGGGTCTTGGGGGACCCATTTGAGTCCTGGCAGCTCTTGAAGGACCCAGGTGGCTCTCGGGGGTGTTGTAGAATCTTGAGGGGTCTGGTTGGACCACTGGGGGGTCATTGGGGGAGTCGTTGGCTCTTGGGGGACCCAGTTGGGTTTTCAGGGACCTTGTTGGGGTCTGCAGGGTTTTGGGGGCCCCTGATTGGTTTTTGGGGTCCTTGGCTGTGCCTACTTCCCCCCTCTCCTCCTCAGGTCCAACCTTTGCCCAGGTAGCGACTCTTATCCCCATCCCGGAGCTCCAGGGCCTCGTGGATCCCGGTGGAGGCTCCACTGGGAACTGCCGCCCGGAACCGTCCTGGGGGAGCAGGGGACAGTCAACCCCCAGCCTGGGCCCCCCCCATGTCCCCAGCACCCCTTTATCTTCCCTCCACATCCCACCACAACCCTGAAGTTCCTCCAAGTCCCCCCACAGCCTCCCAACCCCCATGTCACGCCCCCGCCCCCTCTCCGTACCCTTGGCCGTGTACAGATCCACCTCCACCGTGGGATTCCCGCGGGAATCCAGGATCTCCCGGGCCACGATCTTCTGGATGGACATGGCTGCAGTGGAGGGGACCTGGGGGGCAAGGTCAAGGTCAGGGGGGTCCCGGCCTGACCCCAGACCCTGCAGACCCCTCCCCATCTCCCGGGGTAGCGACCCCCGTGTCCAGGTGCCCCGGAGGTGGCCCCACGCCCCCCCCATCCCACGGGGACCCCCAGTGTCCGGGTGTCCCTCAGATAGCCCCCCTCCCCCACCCTTCCTGCCCCCCAGAACACCCAGAGGGGTCCGGGGTGGGGGCCCCGCAGGGGGTTCCCAGGGGTCCGGGCTCCACTCACTGGGGTCTGCCTGTGCCTGAGATCTTCCCCTCCCCCACGGGGGTCCCCCGGGACTATTTATCCTCCTCCCCTCGCCCCTCCCCCCCGAAGGGACCGCGGCCAAGTTCGGCCCCGGGGGGGGCCCCGAGTGTCCGGGGCTGGTGGCACTTGACGATGGTCCCTGGGTGTGTGACCACCCCCCCCCCCACCTTTGGGGCTATTTTTATCCCTCCCCAAAGGTCACGGTAACACAACCCCCCCGGGGGGGGCTGGAGCGCCTTCTGGCGGCTCTGGGGGGAACAGCACCGGCCAAATGCGGGGGGGGGAATTGGGGGCGCAGGATTTTTGGGGGTCCAGACGGGCCGGGGGGGGGGAAACTCAGCACCTCTGGGCCCCCAGGGGTGGGGGAGCGGGGACTGAGCCCCATGGGCCCCACGGCGCGGGGGAGGGGCGGCGGCTCTGACCACTTCCCGGGGAAGTTCTCACCGGGGGGAGGAAGGGTCCGGGTCGGTTTTTTGGAAGGGAACGGGCACCCCCAGCCGCCCCCTCCCCCCTCCCCGGCTCTGGGGGTCAATGCCCCCTCCACCCCCCCCGGGGTGGGATCCCGGCCGCCGCCGTCCCCCCCCAACCCCCCCCGCAGCCGCGTGTCCCCTCCCCCCACCCGGGGCAGGAAGTGAAACCGCCGTCCCCTCCCCCCCCCCGGAAAGTCCCGCCCGGGGCTGAGTCAAACCGCGACCCGCGGGGGGAGGGGCGGGGTTCCCGCACCCCCAGACCCGCACTGGGCTCCCAAGCCCCCCCAGCCACCCCCGTCCGTGGGGGCACGTGGGGCCCAGCGCGGGGCGGGGGGAGGCGGGCGGGGGTCGCAATAACGTGTCGCGATAAGGGGTGTGTGTGTTTGTCTCAAAATACCCGGGGGGTCGCCGTGTGTGGGGGAGGGAGCGCAGTAACGGGGGCTTCGTTATAACGGGGGGGTGTCACTAAAACCGGGAGGTGTCGCGATATCGGAATAACGGAGGGGAGGAGGCGCAATAAGGAGGGGGGGGAGTCGAGATAATGAGGAGGGTCGGAATAACCTGGGGCGGGTGTCAGGATAATGGGGAGTCAGGAGGGGGTCGGGACAACGGGGAGATGCAATAATCGCGGGGTTCAGAATCACGAAGGGGGTTCGAAAAAGGTGTGGGAGTGTGTCGAAATAAGGTGGGGGTGGTCGAAATAAGATGGGGAGTGGGCGCAGTAAGGGGAGGGTTCCCAATAAACAGGAGGGGGCCACAGTGAGGGAGGGTGTGTGTCGCGACGACGGGGGAAGGGTCGCGATCAACCCCCCCATTCCCGCGCTCCGCGGCGCGCGCTGCCCGGGGGGGGCGTTTCCCGTAGGCCCCGCCCCCAGGCCCGCCCCGGCCCCGCCCCCCGCCGTGCCCTATGAAAACCCCCCGCGCGGCGCCGCCGCCGCTTCCCCTCGGCCGCCGCCGCGCCGCGCTCGCATCGCGCAGGCGCCGCCGCACGCGGATAAAACCCCGCCCCTTCCCGCGGCGAAGCCCCGCCCCCCGCGCGGAAGGCCCCGCCCCCCGCGCCCCGCCCCGCCCGCCCGCCGCCGCCATGAGCGGGTGGGCGCCCTACGTGGAGACGCTGCTGGCGGACGGCACCTGCCAGGACGCCGCGATCGTCGGGTACCGCGACACCCCCGCCGTCTGGGCCGCCGCCCCCGGCAAGACCTTCGCCAACATCACGGTGAGAGCCCGGGAGCGGCGGGCGCGGCGAGGGGGGGGGGGGGGTTGAGGCGTTTCCCGCCCAAGCGCGCGGAGGGCGGGGGGACCCTGCGGCCTCCGGGGGCGGGGCCAACCCCCCCCCACCCCCCCGCGACGGGCGCTGGGAGGGACAAAAAAGGGAGAAAAACGCGAAAGCGCCAGCGTGGAGCGCGGAGGGGGGGCGGGTGCTCAGTGCCGGGGGGGGAAACCTCCGCCCCTCAAACCCCTCTGCGGGCGTTTTGTGGGGGGGGTCGCAGGCGGGCGGGGAGGGGGGTTGGGCCGCGCACCACGTGGTTCGACCACCTCCCTGTCTCCCCCACAGCCCTTTTTCCCATCTGTTTTATTGGAGTCCCTTAACGGGATGGGGGGGGCGGTGGTGTCTCATGGGGGGCAGTGGACGGGGACCCCCCCCTTCACTTAAAAACCCTCTAAAAATGCGCGGAATGCGGCCACTTCCCGGTGGGGGAGGGGCGGTCGGGGCTTCCTGTGGGGGAGGGGCGGCGCGCGCGCACCCCCTTCCCCCCCTCCCCCCCTCCCCACTTCCCCCCACGGAAACGGGGGGAGGGGGGAAGTTTGGGGGAGCCCATGGGGGGGTTGGAAGGGGTTATTGGACGCCTCGTTTCCCCTTGGGGTCACGGGGGAGTTATGGGGGTCCCTGGACGCCTGGGCCACCCCTGGGGCTTTTGGGGGGTTCATGAGGGTTCACGGGTTTGGGGTGCGGGGGGATTATGGGGGTGCCCTGGGTTAAATCCAGGTCCTTGTAGGGTGGGTTAAGGGGTCCCCTATGGGGTCTCCAAGGGGATGTTTCTGGGCTCCCCGTGACCTGTTGTCCCCCGTGGAAGTGGTGACCCTGGAGGGTTCCGAGTGTCGGGGGGTCGTGGGAGGTCACAGGGGTCCCCTGGGGGGGTCATAGGTCACATGTGGGGTCTCTGGGGGAAGTCATGGGGGGGTCTCTGGACTCCTGGGTCCCTTATATGGTCATGGAGACAAGGTTATGGGAGTGCTCGGACATGCCAGTCCCTTATGAGGTCCCCGTTGGTTTTGGGGGTCTGGGGTCGGGTTCTTGGGGCTGTCCCCTGACCCTCGTGCCCACAGCCGGCGGAGGTGGCGGCGCTGGTGGGCCCCGAGCGGGGGCCGCTGCTGGTGCAGGGGCTGACACTGGGGGGGCTGCGCTGCTCCGTCATCCGGGACTCGCTGCTGGTGGAGGGCGAGCACAGCATGGACCTGCGCACCAAGGGGGCTGCCGGGGCGCCCACCTTCAACATCACGGCCGCCATCACCAACAAGAGTGAGTGAGGGACCCCTGTGACACCCCGTCACCCTGTGACACCCCCTGCCATCCCCTCCCCTGAACCCCCCCACCTTCAGCATCAGGGCCGCCATCACCAAGAGTGAGCGAGGGACCCCCTGAATCACCCCCTGGCACCCTCCATCTCCCCCGCCATCCCTCCCATGACCCTTCCTGCCATAACCAGCAAGAGCAAGGGACCTCCCTGTAACTGTCACCCTGTGTCACCTGTCACTCCCCCCCCGCCCCCTTCACCACCCCCCAAGCCCCCAGGTGCCCCCCACCTGTGCCCCCACCCCCCCACATCTACCCGGGTGGCCTCCAGGTCTCACAGGATCACGGTGTCACCCTCTGTCACACTGTGTCACCTCCTGACCGGTCCCTGTCACCCCCAATGACCCCAAACCTCCCCAGGTGCCCCCCATGTGTCTCGTGGCATCACTGTGTCACCCGGTGTCCCCTGCCAAAGCTCCCAAGTGGCCTCCACATGCCCCCCCATCACCTCATGTCACTCTGTGCCCTTTCCCCTCCAGCCCCACCCGTCCACGTCACCTGCTGCCCTCTCACCTGTGTCACCCCTGATCTGCTCCCTGTCACCTCTATCCTCTCCTCTGCTCCAGTTCCCCCCAAATCTCCCCTTGTCCACTCCTAGGATTCCTTCATCCCCCCTATTTCTACCTCCTCCTCCTCCCCTCCCATGCCCCTCCCCTCTGTCTGTGGAGGGGTGGGGTGTGATGGGGGTTTTGAGGAGGGTTATGGGGGGTGATGGGCTTTTTGGGGGAGGTTTTGGGCCCCCCCTTGACGCCCCTACCCCTGCAGCCATCGTGCTGGCCATGGGCAAGGAGGGCGTCCACGGCGGCTGCGTCAACAAGAAATGCTACGAGATGGCCAATCACCTGCGGCGCAGCCAGTACTGAGGGGGCTGTGGGGGACCCCCGGGGCCACCCGGGGGCCCCCCGGACCCCCAGGGACCAGCAGGAGCCGCCAGGGACCAGCAGGACCCCGTCCCCCACCCCCCTCTCACCTCCCCAGTCCCCGCTGCCGGCAGCAATAAAGTGCCCTTGTGGGGAGATGCTGTGGGGCTGGAATGTGTCGGGCAGGATTTGGGGGTGTGGGGCAGGGATTGGGGAACCCAATGTGTGGGGCAGAGCTGTGGGGTGTGGCTCTGCCATCCGCCCAGGGCAGGGGGAACCTTCCCAGACAGCCGGGTCCAAGGGTGCTGCGCCGCACCCCGAGGGGGCAAAGTCTGCGATGGGGCGGCAGTGACGCCCTGGCACCCGCCCTGGCACCCGCCCCACACCCTCCCAGACCCTCCAGAGGCAAAGTCGGGGGGTAAAGGCTTTATTGAGGGACTGCACCAGCAGCAGGGGGGTTCTGGGTGTCTGTGGGAGGGAAAGAAGGCAGTTGGGGGACACTTGGGGTTGGGGGACAAGGGGACACTGCGGGGTGGGGGGGCAGGCTGATGAGGGCCGGGGAGGGGATGTGGGGATGATGTGGGGGGCTGCTGTGGGGCAGAGGGGATCATGTGGGGTAGGGGGGATGTGGGGCAGGACTGGGCGTGCGGAAGCAGCTCCGGTGCCGTCCAGGCCTTATAAGGACAACGCGGCAGCTCCGGCACTTCCTGTTCCCCCCCCCAGTCTGACTCAGGGAGGGGAGGAGGGGCCCGGACGTGCCCCATGGAGGGAATTGGGGTGTCAGGGGTTGGTCCGTGAGGCAGAACTTCCCCGCCCCGGGGCATGGAGGGACCCAGGTGTTGATGTCCCCTATGTGCCATCCCTACCCCCACTTCCATGGGGCCAAAGCCCCTCATCACCCCGTCACTGTGCCACCAGTGGGGCTGGGGTGCCCTGTCACCTGTAAGATGGTGTAAGTGGGGCTCCCCTGTCCCCAGGTGACCCCCTCACCTCTGTCAGCTGTAGGACAGTGTCATCTGTGTCACCTCCGGTAATCTGCACCCTCGGGTGGCCACACCACCTCCCAGCACCTCAGGGGGACCACAAAATT